AGACGGGTAGGCAAGCCCTCCCAGACAGAGCAACCAGATGGCTCCATCTGGTGGACGAACAGTGGAACTGAAAGAGAAAACTAACACTGGTCGGGTTTGATATCCTTTCATAAAGTTGTTTTCCCCTCATTTAAAAAAAGCTAAAATATGATGAGATGAAGTAAATAAGTAAATAATGAATAAATAATGAATAAATAATGAATAAATACATTTTGCCATTGAAAGCCTTCAGTCAACCATTGCTGCTGTTTTTCAGTAATTTAAGTGTTTTGTTTGTTTCTCTTCCTCAGGACATCTTCAGATGACAGTTTCTAAATAAACTGAAGTGTTTGTTTATGATATTTTTTTTGTGTTTTAATGATTTTTACTGAACCAGTTGGTCGCCTCAGGGCCACACTGGTTCTGCCATCTTTACTGGTGCTGACGGCAGAGCTGCTGTTTCACTTTCAGGGTTTTCTGGATCCAGGCGAGAGGCTGGAGAGTCTGAGCTCATCTCTGTGCTGCTCAGAGAAGTTAAGCTCAGGCTCAGTTTTTAACCCCATAAAGTCTCCTGCTGCTGCTGCTGGAACTTCAGGCTGTTTGCTGAGAAGCGGTTTGGTCCAGTTTGATGCAGCTGCTGAAGCAGCAGCAGGAACAGGTGAATCACACCTGCTGTAACGCCCAGGTGTCAGCAGCAGAGGGCTGCTGATGTCAGAAGAGCTGACATCACTCCATCTGCTCAGCTCTGATAATAACAACTCATCTTCCGCCTGAAAATTCATTTCACACCAACAGAGTTTCTCCTCCACGTGAGGTGACGAAGACGCGGCTCTGATTCATGTGTGTGTGGTATGAATGAATCAGGGATGCTGCTTCCTCCTCTTCCCTCCTTCCTCCTCCTCTTCTGTCGTGACGTTGGATCAGGAGGAAACACCACAAACAGTCCGGAGATATTCTGAGAGATCATGCTGAGTGTGTGAGTGACTCAGAGGGAAATACCTCTGTGGATGGAGGGAGGAGTCTAACTGCTGGAGGTATAATTGCTGGCAGAGAGGGAGGACAGAGTGACCCTGCTCAGTGTTTGCTCCCATTCAGAACCGGAGAGGAACAGAAGCAGCAGTGCAGGCTGCAGATGAAGGACTGAAGGACCAGAACCACAGATTCTAATCATCCAAACACCATCTTAGCTGCTTCTGGTTCTCACCTCAAACTCCTCATCCAGGTCAATTTCTAACGTCTGCCTCCCACAGCCTGCCTCTGACCCCCATTCCTCCACAGAACCTTCTGCCAGGTTCTGCTGGGTCTTTCTGGACCGCTACCATCAGACCATCAGCTCTGGGAGCAGCATGTCGTCTTGGGTTGTCTTGTTCTTTGTGGCGCCCATCTTTCTCCTGATTGACACGTCTCCAACCATCTCTTCCCCGCTGGAGGGGGGGCCGCGGCTCAGCCAGGGGGCTCCATCCTCAGACTGCCCATCTTGTTCTCTGCCTCAGGTGAGGAGGAATATGTCTGGAGGTCAGGGCGACGTGGTGGAGGCGGTGAAGCGACACATCCTCAGCATGCTGCACCTGAACGCCAGACCCAACCTGACGCAGCCGGTTCCGCGTGCGGCGCTGCTCAATGCGCTAAAGAAGCTGCATGTTGGACACGTTACTGAAGATGGAAGGGTGGAGATATCAGACGACACTTCTGGCCCCGGGGCCTCCACAGCACCTGAACCTCCATCCGAGCTGATCGTCTTTGGGGAGCCAGGTGAGTTGTGTGTCTAGATTGGCTTTCAGTCCTGGGTCCCTGCAGATAGCAGAGCGGCTAACTCCTCATTGGTTGAATGGGACCAGAGGTGTGCCTCTCAGGGACTTCCTTTACAGGTGCGCTTTCACTAAGTGATGCAGAGCAGGTAGAACAAACTGGCTAGCAGCGCAGAACTAGACTAAACAGAACAATCTGTGTCCAACTGACCCTGAATCCAAAACCAAAGTGAAATTGAATCAAATGAGGCAGTTTGTTCCAGAACTGAAACCTGGACCAACTGGTCTGCTGATGGAATCAGCTGCAGAAGGTTCTGGTTCCTGTGGAGGGGAACCATAAGATCCAGACTAATGTAGATGTGAGAACCGTCACGTAGTCTGTGTGTGTTTGGTCCCTTCCTTCCCACCGACAAGGTCAAAGTTCATTTATGGATTCATGGAAGAACTTCTCTTTGTGTGAAGGTCGCGTCCCGTTTTTATTTCTGATGTTCTCTGCAGCTTGTTTGGTTTTCAGTCAACATGAGCCATTCAAAAAATAAACAACAAAGTTCAGGATGACGGAATGCAGATCTATCCAAACAAGTTCTAACAGTCCACAGCAGATCAGGAAATTCATCTGTTAGAAACCGTGTTTGAGTCACAAGCATCTAAATCCCAGGAGCTGCTGCAGGAAGGTTTTACTGATTTAGCATCAAAAACCTTCAGATTCATCAAACATCCTGGAAACATGTCGCTAAATGTTTTAATTTGTAGGATTTCCAGCAGATATCTGGCTTCATCTCTTTCATCAACCTTTTATACAGCAGATCAAGTGAAATAGAGAGAAAATCATGTAGACACCAGACAGGAGACACCAGACAGGAGACACCAGACATAAAAACGTATGAAAATAAAGCTGAATAAAATATATGAACAATCCATTCATTTATATAGACCAATACATGTCATCTTAGGTCACTGGTTTACAGGATTCTCTCCTCCTGGATCAGCAGGTAGAGAAAGTAGATATTGACTCAGCAGCAATCCCTCATATGAGCATGCATGCAGCGACAGTGGGAGGAAGAACAGGAAGAAACCTCCAGCAGAACCAGAAGGATCGGTCTGAGCGGCCGTCTGCTGAGGCCCGTTGGGTTCAAGCAGCGGATCATCCAGAACCCCAGTACCAGGCCAGAATCCCCTTCCTCAAATAGAACCAGATTAACCTTATTGGATGTAAAGGTTTCCTTAGATCTCTGATTGTCATATCAAAGAGCAGAAGGTAAAGAAGTGGCTGACATGGCAGAGCCCTAAAACTACAAAGATGGCTGACAGGTTCTGCAGAGACGAAGCACAGCCTGAGTTCTCATTGGTTACAGCCTATATGACTTTATTACAGTTAAAACAGAACGTAGAAGAAGCCAACATAGAAGCAGACATAGAAAAGTTTATTTCTATAGAACAGTTCAGTACATGAACAATCCAAAGTGCAGTGGTACTAGACACTAAAACAGAAGGAAAATAAAAGACATAAAGATAACATGATAAAAGCGGGTAGTAAAGCAAATAAAACAGTTTGACCAACAACTTTAACTAGTGATTCCCCAGTTAACAGTTTAACAGTTTAACAGTTTAACAGTCTAACAGTTTAACAGTTTAACAGTTTAACAGTTTAACAG